CGAGTGCAATTCCTTTCCATAACATGTTATCATTGCAGTAATTAACAGCCTGCTTGTTCAGTGGTGCACCAGAGTTGTTGCACATAATCCATCACAGTTTCCAGTGGTAACAGCACATTAAACACATCCTCAGCCATGAAGTTCCGTGGCTTTGGCACAGAGAGCTGCTCTAGCAGCCCAGCACCGGCACAGCCCGTGCTTTGTGTCCTTCACAGTGCTCCACAAGCCCCTGTGGCATCACAGAGTGCCCTGGGATGTGGGAGGAGCTGGAGGATTCCCTGCCTTGCATGACCACAAATACAGCATAGATATTGAATAATAAATCATAAATAATAAAAAACCCTTCCCAGTCAAGTCCAATAGGTTTGCTCTGAGGGGCGGCACTTTGCTGTGCTGTGTCAGTGCAGAGCGATGGCTCCAGGCAATCCCAGAATTAAACCAAGCTCAAAGCCCATCCTGGATCTCCCAAATCTCTGGGATGTGCATTCCAAAGCCAGTTGGGTCAGCATAGGGGCTGTGGGACACAACTGTCCCTTTATCCTGGGCACACAGGGCTGGGCAGGGCAGGAGGGGGGGCTGAGGGTCACTGTCCTCTGTCCCCACACTGGGATTGTCACCCAGGCCAGGGGATGCCCCAGCTCCAGCCCCTCCATTCCTGCAGCATCCCCCAGCTGGGAGAGAGCTCAGAAAGAGTTTTTTCCTCCAGATAATGCATAGGAGTGACTTTTATCTCTCACTGTGGTGTTTTTAATACTTCTCCAAATATTGGAATTGCAGCTCCCGCCTCTGAGAGAATCCATCCTGATGGAAGCATTAACCTGGGACAGAGGTTTTCCATCCCCCAGGCTCCTCACATCTGCTTTATTTGCCGTAGTGTTTCATCCCCCCTCGACAGGAGGAGTTAGACCCCAAGAAATTCCCGAGGGACAAGCAGTGGAAAAGCAGGGATGGGAAGGTGGCTGAACAAAAACCCCACAGAACAGCCCCAGCGCTGCCAGGCATCAGAGCAGGGCTGGGCACTGCAGACAAATGAGATTAGCACAGCAAGACACGGCATGATTAAAACACTTGTCCTTATGCAAAATTCAGCAGATATTCCCAAATGTCCGTGGCAGACAAATTGCACCATCTGGTCAGCGAGATAAAGTCTTTAAACAAGAACTTTGCAGGCCGAGGTTCTCAGCTGTGGGACAGGTCATGCTGGTGCCTGTGATTTGCCAAGTCGAGGGCAATCCACTCTCCCTCCTCTCTGCACTTCACTGCAACATTAAAAATCACATATGGTGCATTCCCAAAGTGACATTGTCCACGAGAATAAAGGATCTGATCTCAACTCTCTCTTTTTTCACAGTGATAATTCCCTGTTTTGTCTGATTCTGGATGCCAACATTGCTAAAACACCAAATTTTCCTGTCAGGAATCTATCTAATTAATAAATATATTTATATATAAGCTAATGAAGAAATGTGTTCTATTTGCCACATATTCAGCAGGGTCTGAAGCCCTTTGAGCAGGACCTGTGTAACCACACAGGAATTTCTCACATCATGTCTGAGGAACCACAGGGAACCCCAAAAAAATCCAGGAAATGAGCATCTCAGGCAAAGGCAGGGGCAATCCCTCCATTTACCTCAAAAAACCAATAAATGAGCATCTCAGGCAAAGGCAGGGGCAATCCCTCCATTTATCTCAGCCCTGCTGGATCAGCCCTGGGTGCTGAGCCCCCATCAAACCTCCCCACATCAAACAGCTGTAAATTGGCCATTATTTTGGCACGTCCAGCCAGGGCTCCCCAAACTCAGGTAATTAGTGCACAGCACGGAGCCTTTCCCGAGGCTGGCAAGGCCAGGGCACCTGCAGACAGCTCAGAAGTGGTTAAACCTGCAAAGTGCATTTTGAAGAGAGGGGAACTGGCATTCCATCATAATCTCAGTGCCTGGACGCCAGGAGCGCTGCAAGGAAAAGCACAGGGGGAAGATCTGCAGTGCCAGGGTGAGTTCAGAAATCCAACCAGCCTTCATTGCTGTTTTATACATTGTGCTGATTTCCTTGATTGTGCTGTGAAATCAAAACTCATAATGAAGACCTTTTTCCCCCTCTAATAAAAGCTGTCAAAGTAAATAAATATTCATCCCCATCTGCCCCTCTGGATGAAGGGAGAATTAATTGATGATTTTCCGAGCTCTGTAACCTCCTGCCCGGTGCTGTGTTGGCTGTGTGGAGTCTGCCTTGCTGAAATCCTGTTAGTGCAAGTTTAAAAGTCAGACAGGCGTGGGGCACTAAATCAGATCTGTGTTCTGGGAGGCATCACAGGGTGAAATGCCCATCTGTTCTCAGGAGCTGCTGCTTTAGCGCTGCTCTCAGATAACCTGGCTGTGCTGTGCCCATCAGACTCCTGCCCACATCTCATTTCTCTACTCCGAGTAAGTTCCTAGGGGTTGGAGGCCAGGCTGAGCCCCAGAGTGCATTTGTAATTTGTAATTTGTACCTGCTGGGGGATGAAGGGGAGCACAGAGGGTGATGAGCAGGGAGAGCTGCTTTAGGGAATGAGGGTGACTCTCATTTCTGCTGTTCCTGCAGGTTTTGGGTGAAATCAGTGATTTTTGGGCAGGGAGCAGAGGCTGCTGGTGTTTGCAGGAGGGCACAGCCGCTCCTGGAGATGCTCCAGGAGGATGGGAAGACTTCTCAAAATCCATTTGCAGTGCAAACGGAACTCCTCTGTGTCACACAGGATCCCGGAATGGAAGCGTGCCCCCGTGCCGGGGATGAGAGGGAATAATCACAAAGGTAAATGCCACTCGGGGATTTTATCTCTCCTGACATTTGCAGAGCTCGCTGTGCCTGCAGCTCGCCCGTCCCAGGGCAGCCCTGGCTGGGTGTTCTGATCTCCAAACTGCTGGAGCCTTCCAGGAACTGCAGGGATGGAGATGGGCCCTGCAGATGAGCAAACATTACCAGAGCACAGGAGGAGGAGGAGCAGATTCCCAGGGAACGCAATTCCCCCTTTCCACCTTTCCACCCAGCTCTGGGACTGGGGGCACTGCAGGATAATCAGTGCAGAGCCCAGGAGCAAAAACTCCATCTCAGCCCAGCTTTGCAATCAGACACACTGACAGAGTCAGGAGTGCCAGGTTTATGAAAGCAGGGTGTGGGGGATATATACATATTTTATATCTATATGTTCTCACACCTATAGATCTCCAGAAGAGAAAAATCCATCTCATTCAGAACCAGATGCTGGACATAAATTTATTAAGATGAATGAAGCTACTTCATTCCCCTTCAGTGGCTGGAGGTTGAAAACTCAGGCAATATTGCCTCTCCCTGGCATCAGAGCACTCCATTTCTCGCCGGAGTTCTCAACAATAACTCATGTCTGTGCATGGCATTGATCAGCCAGGCTTTCAGATCCCATTCCTTTGTCTACGTCTTCTCTTGCACTCAGCTCCTGAGGCCACGGGGAAGAAAGGTTTCTGGCAGGAAAGATAAAAACTATTTATTGTACTGACCTTTTTGATTAATGGGTGGAGTTAGGTGTGAAATCATTTTTATCAGGTGAACATAATGACTTGCAGGACAACAAAAAGGGCATTTCAATTTTTTATCAAAACCTTCAGTGAGAGCACAATCCCCCAAGGTGAACTCTGGGGACAGCCCGAGTAGCCAGGAGTGAATAAATATCTTATAACTTCAGTATTAGCTGGGAATTGGCTCATGAATCAGCAGGGATGGTTTGAAGGAGCTGGGCACTGCTCCCTGCAGGTTCCATGGAGCTGTGCTCAGAGCAGATGGACTCAGGCAAACTCGGACACTCTGGATTTTCTAAATAATTCTGCTATCAACTCTACCTCCGCTGGGCTTCGTGCTCTGAAATCATCCACTGGAGCCTAATTAAGGAGACATTAATGAGATCAGAGTGTCTGACTGTGTATTAGCCTCCCAAAACACGATAATTTTTTGCCACACTGCTGCAGGAATCCTGTCTGCCCAATATTTATCAGCAACACAAATCCCAGCAAAACCGTGGAACTGCATCCTTGGGCCCTGTGATCCCAGTGCTGGACTCAGGATATTCTGAGATTCCATGGAAACCAAACGAAACCTGTGCACACACAGGCAGTTAACACACAGCAAGGCCTGTGGACATTAAAAAACACATTTTGGATCGCTGGTTGAATTAATGAACCCATAAAACTTGTCCAAAATTAACCCTGCTGACCCAAGCCCCGCTGATGGGGTTTGGGCTGTGATTACCCAGGCTCTGAATTCTCCCAGACACTGGAAAACTCTGTCTGACACTTCATCACCTTCCACTTCCCTGCACCCTGATCATACAAACTGAAACGCACAGACCTGGATGTTTAAGCTATGAAAGTGAAAATGTTTCAAGGCGAAATGGCCTTTTAATAATACTTAAGCGCAGCATGGCTGAGATTCCAGGCTGTAGTAACAAAGCAAGGATGGGTTTTTTGGCAAAGGGATGTGAAGGGCTCTGTCAGAGCGAGTTTTATCTTTGCACCCCCAGCCTTCTGCAGAGGGACGAGGGTGATGTGAAGAGGGTGAGATGATGGGGAAACTGATACAAAAGTGATATAAAAGTGATATAAAAGTGATACAAAGCAAGGGACTGTTGGGTGTTCTGCAGACAGAGAGGGTGGGAAGGGTCCCAGAGGGTTTGGAGCATCCCTGGGGTGTTGGAGCATCCCTGGGGAGATTTTGGAGCATCCTGGAGGTTTGGAGCATCCCTGGGGAGATTTTGGAGCATCCCTGGAGGTTTGGAGCATCCTTGGGGATTTGGAGCATCCCTGGAGGTTTGGAGCATCCCTGGGGAGATTTTGGAGCATCCCTGAAAGTTTGGAGCATCCCTGGAGGTTTGGAGCATCCCTGGGGGATTTGGATCATCCTTGGGGGTTTGGAGCATCGCTGGAGAATTTGGACCATCCCTGGGGAGAGTTTGGAGCATCCCTGGGGAGATTTTGGAGCATCTCTGGAGGTTTGGAGCATCCCTGGTGGTTTGGAGCATCCCTGGGGGTTTGGAGCATCCCTGGGGGTTTGGGTCTCTCTGGGGGGGTTTGGTTCTCCCCGGGGTGCAGGGATGGAGCTGCCTCCCTCCCTCCCTCCCTCCCTCCCGTGCCCCGAGCGTTTCCAAGTCTCGCCCACTCAAGGGCATCATTATGATGACTTTGGAGCTCATTCCTCTCTGCCGGTCTCCGTGCATAATTTCAAATCAGCCTCCCAGGCAACCAGCAAGGAGAGCTGCACGGAAAGCAGTGGCAGGCTTTGAAGTTGGAGTCTCTGTTCTCCTTCCAGACAGATTTTGATTTAATGATAGATGCCTGCCCTGCCAGGGAAGAAATTTCGTAATGAATCAAGTCATGTGGGTATAAATAGAACCCCGGCACAGCGTGGGGACAGGAGAGGAGCAGAGGACAGGCTGGACTTTGGGTCGAGCCCAGCTGGGCTCAGGCCTGGGCTCAGGCTCCCCTCAGGCTTTGCTGAGCTCAGGGCTCATTCCCCGAGGCTGCAGAGGCAGCAATAACCCGGGCACAGCTGGCAGCCAGATGTTGGTGTTGGTGTGGCAAGCTCAGGGCTGTGCTGGCAGCTCCGACTCCAGGGTTTGTTCCCATCCCAGTTATCTGCAGCGTTGGATGCCTCCAGCAAATTGTTTAAAATCTTCAGAATCCCAGAATGGCTGCGGCTGGGAGGGCCATTAAAGCCTGTCCAATATAATCTCAAAAATTATTAGTATTACCTGCTTATTATGAGTTACTTTTTATTACTGCTTCAGTAACCGTAAATTCCAGTTGGTGACATCGATTATATCGACACAGCACCCTCAATTTACTCATTATCATTTAAGCAACACCTAAACATTTCAGTTAAGAGGTAAATACATCTCTTACCCCGGATCAAGCAGTGCTTGTTTTTTGCCTCTCCCTGGCCATTCGGCGACGTTAATAATATTTTATATTAATATATATTAATACTACAGCAGAGGCAGCGCCTCGCACGAATTTAAACACAGCGAGTAACCCGAGCCAGCAGAGATTTCACCTTTCCAAAGGCGTTTGCAGCTTCCCCCGGGCGGATCCCGACAAAAAGGGTTAAATAAATATCGGATGAGGATCCGATAAAAAGGGTTCAAAGGGCGATGAGCGGCCACTGATGGCTCGCACTGAGGATTTGGGGTTTGCCCCAAATCTTATCTTTGTGATAAGAGCCCGTCTGTGTTAAAGCTTTCACCTTCTCGGGGACACGTTAGGACGATTGTCTGCTTTGAAAGAACAATTGTGAAGGAAACAAAAAGCGCTGGTGGAAGCCGCAATGACCAAACCAAGAAGGTTTACCCACATTTTCACGTCATTAATTCTTCTGCTCCTCTCAGCTTCTCCATGCCCTGCACTGGGGTTTGTGGACTTTGTAAAGTGCTTTAGGAGCGGTCACACCTCCCGTCCGTTCTGCAAAATGCGGGGGGATTATTCGAATAAAACAAAAAGAACTCCTCTGTCTCATTTTGGGCACGAACTCTGCTGCTTGTGGATTCATTTTCCGACACCCTCTTCTCCTCACCCTCAGCTGTGTGCAGCTGTAATCCCATCCGAACAAGGAAAAGCCGCTTCTTTTCCAAGATCTATCTTCAGTTCCTACACGTGGTGCTGATATTCATCTTAAACACCAGCAGCGAGATGAACCCGCCGCGACTTTCATTTCTCAGATGCGACATCCCTGTCAGCACTGAGAGCTTAAGTGCTCTTCCTTTCACACCTATTAGGTTGGAACAAGCCTTAAAAGCATAAATAAACCTTCCCCACAACATAATGAAAGACCTTATTACAGCCTGGGATTAATTTTTTCTAATCTGTTTACAAGCAAAAAGGTCGAACTCAAATTTGACAGTGAGGAAGGGAGGCAGGATTCATTATCTCCAGAAAGAGTAGAGAAAATGGATGAGCATAAACAGAAGATAGTTTTGGAGCTTGAATCCATGTCCTAGCCTCTAATTAAAAATTACCCAGCAAGGCACTGCCTCGCAAACACCATTAGCTACAGGAAAAATGAAATCCCTAAATACTGAGCAAAAATATTTTGATCACAATTTTTATTATTATTTTTGAAAGCCATCTTTGCTGTTCAAACCCACGTTCCATTCCTTTTCCTTCTCGGTGTAGAAGCTCTGCTCTATCCTTTTATTCCAAAGCACCAGCAGGACATGGCCACACACGGAGCCCTGATGATTTTCATCATCTCCCTCCAATCTCATCTGGCTCCCCTGGCTGCAGCTGAGGGTCAGAGGCAAAGCTGGGCTCAGGATGTTCCTTCCTCAGCTCTGCACAACAACCCAGAAAGGGCTGAAGTGGCCAGAGCTGGGGAGAAGAGGGAACAATTGCTGCAATTCCAGCAGAGCTGGCCAGATTCAGCTGGGTGGTGTGGAGTGCTGAGGTGGGCACAGGGAGGGATTGCTCTCACCTGCCCCAGGTGAGCACCCACAGCAGCCACTTCTGGCCACTCCAGTCCCACCAGGGCTCTGGGGAAGGGCCGGGCTCTGCCTCGCAGCCTCTGCTGTTCCTGAGGCTGTGCCTCCCTCTCCAGGCAGCCCAGGAGCTGGCACTGCTGCTGCTGCTTCCATCCAACCCCTTCCTTCCTTCCCACCATCCCATCCAACCCCTTCCTTCCTTCCCACCATCCCATCCAACCCTGCCCTTTGTCCGTTTGAGACCATTCCCCCTTGTCCTCTCACTGCCCTTGTAATTATTTGCTCTAATAATTTCAGTACTTGTATTATTTGCATTGATGCTCCTCGAGTAGCTGACTGCACTCCCCGGGCATCACAGGAGTCAGCGGCCAGAGATAATTTGTATTTATTCCATGTGTTAGCTGTATTTGTACGTGTTTATTGCATTGAAGTGTGCAGTGAATTTATTTATTTAACTCTGTGAAAAGAGTGCCAGGAGGTTTCTCAGTTTGTTTCCATCTTCAGCCGCTGTAAATAAACCCGGGCTCCTTGGGAGCCCTGCACAGAGCTCTGCTTCCCTCCGTGCTGGTGCTGCCAGCCTGGGCAGGATCTCATTCCTGCCACAAGAATTCATGGAATTGTGGTGCTTAACAAAGCAAGGAATCGCTGGAGATGGGCAACAGCATGCAGCGCTCCTGGAGCCAGCCCAAAACACCACTCTGAGCAAGAAAAAAAAAATGCAAATGCCATTATTTTTATAGGGTGCTCCTTACCAGGGCAGGCAGAGGGATGTGGGCACTTTTATCTCAGTCAGCTGCGTTCTGAGCGCAGCCTGGGGAATCAAATTCGGATCCACCACTTGCTTTTTCTGCTCTTTTTCATGTTTGGTGTGCCTGGGCAGCTGCTCTCTGAAGGGGATGGCAGAGGATGGCTGGGGGTGCCTTTGGCCTGATAAATAGAAATCCAGCAGGGAGAACTCGGGGAATTCACAGCAAATCTCTCAGCTCCTAAAATCCACATTGCTGGAGCACGGAGCTCCTGGGGCAGCAGAACCAAACCCTGAAATATCCATTCCACATTCCCACCCAATCCAAGCACCTGGAGAGAGGAGCTCAGAGCTTCAGTCCCCTGGCAGAAAGGCTGGAGTTTATTATTCTGAATGGCTCTTGAGATTCCTGAATGCTAAAGAAAGGAGGATTAAGGAAAAAAAAAAAAGAAAGCCAGCAATCATGAGGAGTTTTAAAGCCAGACTAAATAAACAGGATTATTGACATCGCCTGAACCGAACAGGTTTCCTGCCTGGGGCAGGGAAGAAAAGGGAGGTGGAAAAGCTTTGCTGCGGCTCAGGGAGTGGCAGAAATCCGAGCAGAATTTCGGTGCAATCTGGATTTTCAGGCACCGCACATCTCCTGAGCCCGGCCCCAGGGCTGGGGATGGCAATGGGACTGCGGAGCCACAGAGCCAAATTTCGGGAATTCCTGCAGAAACCGCGCTTTTAAAGCTCCATCCCTGCTGCGGGCTTAATCAAGGGATAATTAGGATTTAGTGAAGCCTGCAGCCTTCCTGCTCTGCTCTCCATGAAAGGGAGGAGATGGGAGCCAGCTTGCAGCCCCTTTCCCTTTGTTTTTGGGATCACCCTGTGGTTCCCAGAGCACGGGAAAACTCCGCCAGATTCCTCCCGAGTCTCTTTTTTCCACCAGCATAATTATCGGTGGTGAGTCTCAGCAACGATTTGAAAGCATCTTCAAAATCGCTTTTAAATATACGGCTTTTAAAGCCCTTCTAAAACTCCCTTTCCAAAATCCGGGCCTCCATTTCTGAAAACAAGTCTGGAATAGCCTGTTAGCACTATTTATGCCTTCCTTTTTTGAGTTCACAGCTCATTTTCCGACACTCGCAGGGTGTTTAAACAATTTGGCTGCGTCCTCTGGATAATTATAATGAGCTACAGCCTCCCAAAAACCGCAGAAAATGTGATTGTGCTCCTGCTGCTCAGGCTGGCTGCAGCGTTCATCCACTCCCCTGGGAAC